GTTCGATAATTGATGATCCTGCTTGAGTCGTGTTAATCCGTTTTACGCAAATTTTCCCATTTCCTATGAACGCTTCCTCCCTTCCGCCTAGATTATTAGAGTTCCAAAGTTCTTAACATTCCGGCACGGAAAAGTTGAAGTATTCATTGGTGAACAATGTGAAACGGCAAGTGTTGCCGCCTACCATAACGCGGTCGGGGAATCAGTCTTAGGTGGAGTCCCACCCGAGACAATAGACTACCCCATGACTTCGGGTCGGTTATGTGGTACCAAACTCGTTCGATGGGTCAAAATCGTTGACTCATCGCGGCAGACCTGGACCTGTAGCTGTCCAGACTAATTTTAATGGCGTCATCTCGACTGGAATTCGAATGCATGACTAGTTTCGAAAAGGAATTGATAAATGCGAAGCTCTTCAACTCTCCCACTCAACTTAGTACTTCTACTTGTGTTGCAAAAAAATACGTACTTCCATGTTTCTGGTGGAAGCCTAATCTGCTCAATTCGCTTGGACTGTAGAGCCGGCTAATGTTGTTATACCCGTTAAAAATTTTGGACCTGTGGAAGTGGGACGTTCATGTTATGTTATTTCTTGATGACCTATTGGATTCACTTCGAAGTTTTGCTCGAACTTTGCTTTTCAGTCAACTTTAGTATTGTTTCCTCTAAACAGTGAGCAGAATACGCTTATCAGAGCAAACTTCGGGTTCGTGTCGATGTATTAAATCACGTCATTATTGACGCAGGCGTTTTAAATGTTTTGTGCATCATATGTGGCTGACGCTCGCTATACTGTTTTGTTGCTAGCTATCGATCGCAAGAATCACGCTGATAGGCTCGAAAACTCCCCCTTAGTTGGTATTCTCGTTTTCAGTGAATCCAATATTTCATGCACTAAACTTTTTATCCTGGAGATCACTACTACGGAAATGGCGCTTTCCGATGAAGTCATGCATTTTGGTAACCTGTTTTCGGGGCTCGAGGTGTTTGAAAGCAGGACTCTTGAAAGAACATTCGGCTTACACACGTCGGAGCTCTTCTCTCTCACACTCAAAAATTCTCAGCACGCGTTGAAATAGTTCCCGAAAATTGGTGAGAGAAAAAAGGTATAACTTGCTTTACCCAAAACGTAGGGTGCCTTCAGCCCAGGCTCAGTGAAAATCCTTATCCTTTGGCTCACAGTAGTTTCCGTTGCTTCTTTCAACGGTAAATGCCAGCGATAATGAACGAAATTCTGTGAAAACGAAAGTGAAACTGGACTCATTCTGAAGCTTCATATGATTTCACAGGTCTCCAAATTGACCGCGGTAATGAACTAAAAGCATCGCCTCTAACAATCCACCCCCCCCCCCTCTTCAATGAAAAGTTCCAGTTTTCGAAACAATCAACTGATTGCACTGATTTTATTCCCATTCGCTTTAGGCCCAATCACAAAAAAAAAACAAAAACTCAAATTACCTTTAACTGTGAACAATTACTTGACTTTCCTTGATAGAGCGTAGAGAGTATGTTAACACCTGTCCATTTTTCTTTCTCCTTTCCTTTTCGAGACGATATTCCAGTAATTAACAATAAATAGCACATGATGCATGGAATTACCCCAACATTCCATAGTGCACCAAATTACACTTGAAAAAAATGCCTTAATAAGTTCCACATGTTTCGCGAGGTAGAAAGTAATGTATGACGGCCTTCGCTTCTGGGAATCACACATTGCTTGGTTCACTACAGAGGTGATACGCTATTGTATGAGCCCATAGATTCGATCTTCTTGAAACTTGGCATGTAGTCCCTTACAAGACTTTTTATAACGAACATTTGTGGCGATTGACGTGGTGTGAAATATCGAAATCATACTGTATCGTTTATCGCATTGCACATATTCAGTTAAATAGAAAATAATTTTGAAAAAAAGTTCCTTTTCGGTCTGACTAGGTAGGTTTAACTGTTCACTCACTTTCGAGAATGATCCTTTCCATCAATGGGCTTGAATGGTCCGCAGCTGCGGTAGCGTGCCAAATTCCACACGCAAAAGTGGACGAGTACGGGGAGTGGTGAAATCCGGGTCCTCAGTGGTGGTCTCCATACTCTATCCGTGTTATCATCACGTGCAACACCTGTGCCGATCAAGTCCGCAGCAACACGCATTCAGCATTGGGGAAGAACCAGAAGTGAGATAGAAGGCAGAAAAGTAGCGCGGTCGGGCGCGTTGCTAGCCGTGCGGCAGCGCTCATGGAGTATGGAGGCAGCACCCGGCTATCACTATCCTCCAACGGGTATCTGACAAGATCATCGTGATTGGCCGCGCTGGTGGGCGTAGCAAGCGACGCCACGGACTAATTGTCTTATGTGACAGTTGAGTTTCTATGTCAAGCGGTGGGAAGTTCAATATCGCTCGTATTGAAGTCTTTTACTTGGATATGTATGTGTTTTGTTGCTCTAATCGACAAATTGGTGCACATCGAAAACTTGTCCGCGCATGTCCGCACAACGCGGGCGACGCGGCACTATACGATAGTCTTGTCCGTCTACCGCTCCAAGCTAGTTTTCGGGCACATTTCGCAGAAAACGTGGCACGCTACTGCAGTCGCAGACCCGTTCACCCCACACATGGCAAGGACCAGAATCCAAGTAGTACGCTCTATTCATTAGGCAAGTTTTTAAGGCTCATTCTTTTTGTATTCATTGTGCATTTATAGGTTATCGAGACTACGAGGTGTACACAAGCTCGGGCTGAACTCGCTTTGTATGATAACGACAACGATCTCGCTGCTGCTATTGATTACATTCTGGAGCATGGGTCAGAGATAGAGTCGTGGACGGAACAGAAAAGCAAAAAGGATAAGAAGAAGGAAGAGGAAGAGAAGCGACCTGTCCGTGGCCAGCCGTCGACGCGCGGTCGTGGTGGTTTCGTTGATCGTGGTGGTCGTGGACGTGGACGTGGCGATGGAGTAGCATCTCGAGGAGCATCACGCGGTGGTTCAGTAAGCGGGCGAGGACGAGGAGCTGCGAATTCCAGTGGATATCGTCCAGTTCCTTCAAAAACGCCAGCCGATGAATCTGCGATAAAAGCTGTCGACACCGAATCTGTTGATGAAGTTACGGACTGGGTAGGTGTATGATGATTTCCTTTGCTTTTGATTTTGTGGAACAATAATAATCAAGTCTTTTATAGAAAAGTGGACCGATGGTATTCCATCGCTCAGATGATGGTGCAGCAGCAGCATCGATACCGAGTTCAAATGTTCCCGTACCTGCATCTCAACCATCTAACAGCCCTCCTGCTCCTATTTCGTTTGCCGCCGTCGCCGCTGCTGCTGCGAAGAAGGAATTGAAACGTCAACAGCCTCCTCAACCAACGAATTCTGTTTCGTCTTCTGAGCAGCCTGCTCAAGCGCCTACGGAATTCCATCATGAGGAGCCTGTCAGTAGTGCTGCTCCGGCTGCAGGTGATCAACCCACGTCTAAGGATGTGTTTTACAGGTAGGCCATTGTTTCGTCTATTGTTTCTCCTATACACTTTTTTTGAGGTTCCCTTTTCTAGTTTTGCTTTAATTTATTCACTAAAGTTCGTGGATCAATTATTTACTTCTTTACTGACTTCTTTACATTTCTTATCCATTTACGTAAACAAATGCGTAAATCCTGCCAAAGATTGTGAAGATTGTTCGTGTGCTGTTCATGTTTCTGGTGCTATTTTGGTTGAGGAGTTACATGATGGCAAACGAAGGCCGCTGCTCTGCATTCTGAGACAAGCACGGACTCTTGTCTTCGGTTCCCTTTTAAGGCTTGGCGTTAAATTTAGAAGGGACCACATTGAGATGCCACTGCGTGGCATCCTGCAACTACAGTAGGGTCGTATTCCTTCCGAAAGTGTGCGAATGTGCAGCGCGCTGCCCATCGAATGCAAGATTAGCTTTCAGAGGCACACCCTGCGTTCATTTGATGTTCAGGCGCTTTCTTTTGAGGTGGTAGTCCTGCCTGCAAGCACGAAGAATTTGCTATCTTTGCAGCTCAAAAATACGTGAGAAAGGCGCCGCCTGCTTGTGATGGAACTATGGCTCCCCTTACAGGCAGCGGCATCGCCCAAATTTCATTTAATCTGCTGCCTGATGGAACTGTTGTCACGCTAGAGCTGCCATCAACAATAGAGAGCTCGTCCAGCTTCGCTCTCTCTTCCATTTATGCACGCACAGGCGCGGTTCAGCATAGGGATCTATATGGGCACTTCGAGGGAGGGGTGTTCAGCGTTCTTCCCTAAGGTTTTGTAGTTTACCATCTTGTAGTTGGTATTTGGGACATGAATTACCATTTTTGAATGCGGGGAAAGCTGTAGATGCTAGCATCACCAAGTGTAATGCTCACTTTTGCTTTTTGCATGGAGATGAGCAGAGCGAAATTCGTCCTAAAGGCACACCTCGGGTTCATTATTGATGAGTTGCTCAAACGCTAATGATAAGACGGTAAATAACGAACGCAAACGTGGAGATTTTTGAAGCTGGTTTTTGTTGGTAGGCCCTGGTGGCGTAACGGATAGCGCACTCGCCCGGAAAGCGTGAGGTGCGGGTTCGACTCCCGCCTGGGGCACGACTTTTGCCCATAACTCAGCACTTTTGTGATAGCAAACGTGGAGAAAAAAGGAGAAAATTCACCCGAAATCCCCATATAGACACCGTGCTGAACCGCGCTTGTACGCGCACAGGACGCGACGCCGCGCGCGGACTGCCGCGTAGTCATGCGCAGCAAAGCAAAAGGCAAATGTGCATTAGCATTTTGATTGGAGTAACGGGGCTCATATAAATTCAAGCAAAGTTATGACTAATTGGCTGGGTTATGGAAACTTCCCACCTCTTGGGACTTGGTGCTCATATTCGAATGGACGGGTACTTGTTTACCGGACTTCGCTTGTCAGGCCCATTAATGTGACATGTTGCGATTGTCTGGTCACATGCCTTTCTCCTTATCATCTCCCTCACCCCATTCGAAGTGGAGAAAGATAGTAGTGGAACGACAGCACCGCCAGTAATGCTTCATAAATGAAAATTGGGCATGGCGGTGGCCAGTGGGCGGGGCGGTGGCTTGCTCGCGCCTTACTCACGTATTTGTAAACTGCTAAAATAGTACATTCTCCATATCTGCGGACAGGACTACTGTGTTTGAAGAAAGCGTGTGCATTCAGTTAAACGTGGAGCGTGCCCTTTTACCTCTGAGAGGGTCACGCGTACTGAATCCTTCGAGCAATTAGGTTCCGCATCCACACATTTGAGTGCAAGGGATTCCTGGTAATCCTGAATTCATTCGTGCAGTACATAACAGTTTGCCCTTTGAGTGCCCTTTGAGTCCTGCTCACGCACATATCACTCCTTGTACATGAGTCTTGTGCCCCACCTTAGAGTACTTTTCAGTGGATACATTTTACTGATTATGTGATCACGTTTATTTCTTTCCATTACACTGCGCTATACAGACAGAACGAGAAGTTTGTGAAGAGTTATCATGCTGATTGCATAGCATGCAACGATATGCTGTTTACAAGACCCTATCTCTTCCTTCTACAATTTTCATAATACACCAACCTGAAACCATTCACTATTGTCAAGACTGGGCTAGGTATGAAAAGAAATGATTTCAGCGAGCCCTCTGTTGCGCATCCGATCAATCAAAACGAAAGCGTACCCGGTGTTGCTTCTACGTCGGATGCAGAAGATGGAGAAGTTTTGCCGACGACTCCATCGCTTTCACCCGCGATTCAAGCTAATTGGACAAGTCAATTGAAGAATGATCTCGGAATTGGAATTGCCAGCCCTACCCGTCAACAGCAGTTTACCTCTGTGCACTCCCTCACATCAGCGCCTGGTTAGTTACCTTCTTAAGCTGTCGTAAATGTCTTGGCTATATAAACACTCATTCAAATGTTCAATTACTTCTGCCAAACAAGGCTATTAGATGAGACCTTTTAATGGCTTAGCATTTTGAAGTACTCTTCGCTTTCAGTTTTTTACTAACCCAAATAAACGCCCTTCCCATTCTAGCGTTTCCGACCTTGTGTCCTGAACGCCTCTGAACAATTAGTCGATAAGTGCTAACAAGTCGCCGAAGGTCCCACCGTGCTAAGCCCAGCTCACGCTGTGTGTCAGCAAGATTACTAAGAGTGAATGATTCTCACGTAAGTCTCATCCTGTCGCATAAGTCAAAATTGTCAATAGTTAAACTACAACTTACAATTAGACTGATGCGACACTTTGACTCGCGTGAGTCTCATTCGTCTTTACCAGTATCCTGGCACGCAGCGTGAGCTAAGCTCCGCACGCTGAGACCTCCCATGAGTTGTTTGTAGTTATCATCTGATTGTTCAGGGGCGTTCGGGCACGAGATGGTAAACGCTACAGTGGGGATAGCATTTGGTTAAGTAGATAACGAATAAAAACAGTCGGGTCATTTTCAGGCCTCTAAAAAAGAAGGTCGAAACGTTAGGCCAATAAAAATTTGCATCTAATAGCCTTAATTGGCAGAAGCAATTAAACATTGGAAATCATGCCGTGTTACAGCGAGGGGCAACGTAGGCATTACTCCTTCATAACTGCTGTGTTATAGCTGGTGTTGAATTTGTCACGGCAACAATTCCTCCTGGACTTTCCGATTATCACTTTGGATTTGTGGATGGACCCCAGAACACAGAGATCAACGCCTCGGCCGCCTCAGTGGCCAATGCGAATTCCGAAGTTTTATTCTCTTCTGGTCGAACAACAACGAATACAACCGGTGGAACGGTTCCACAAAAAGCAAACGAGGTAGGTGTAACTACTTATATATCGTAGTGTAGCTTGCTATGTTAAGCATTTATAGGGTGAACGTCCATTAAACGGTGATTTCTCGTTGAAGGCGTCTCCACCGATATCACACTCCTATGGGCAACAACAACAGCACAACACGAGGTCCTTATCGTATGCAGATCCATCATCAGTGTCGTATGCACCAACAACGCAACCAGATCGTGGAGTTGGATCCGGGAACAAGCCACCTGCACAAATTCATCATCCACCACAACAATCGGCTGCTCATCAAGCACCCCAGCAGATGTTCCCCACTCAAATGCCATACGGTTCATATCCATACATGAATATGAATATGTACAGTCCAGTAACAGGTGTTCGAGCTG